GAGCGATATATCCGGCCTTGGTGGCGGTGGTGGTGGATGAGTGGTGAAATGTCGACGGGGTGAGAGGGGGGGAGCTAAGAATGGCTATAGGTATGATGTATAAACGTATACGCACAAAAACGTACCTTTTCCGCGTCAGAGTAGCTGGTGACCATCTGATCAGACATTTCAGCGAATTCGCTTCAGTAGTTTTTTATTCAGGCATCAGGCCGGTAATAAAATATAATAGTATCTACGTAATAATGGTGTAGGTGTATAGCCCTGCTAATATTATTAGTTATTAAGTTTTTGAACAGATATCTAATCGACTAATCCGAAATCACAGTAATTTTTCACAAAAGTTTTTCGTACACATGTGGGATATGTGGCTGTACAAACTGCAAACGTTGTAAACACGGAGTTGCAGAGACTATTCATGTCTATCGATGATATAATTTATTTTCTACAATTAGGTTAAATTGTTAAATGGTAAAAAAGGGCTGCACAAAATTGTAAAAATTGTAAAATTAATTTTTTCCGAGAGAAAATAATTTAGTAGTGTTGGTAGTTTAAGAAATAATAAATGTAATTTTTATTCAATACATGGACATGATAATGTACTGTATTATTAAAAGTTTAAAAGATAAGAAAATTGACGTTTTAATCAGCCGCATACAAAATACAGGTCCACCTAAGGAGGTATAATATGCCTTTATACTATATATATAATCTATTATAATATATAAATATACGTACACAGACTATGTATGTATATGATCTGAATATGTTATGTACATTCGTATATTAAACGAGTCGTGTACATCAAACTACTACTTTATTGCGCTCGACCACATTTTTCCAGAATATCAGGTGCGTGTACCTATACATAATATTAGGTTTTTTATGTGATTCGAACTTTCAAATATGTAATTTTTTAATGGTATATAGCAGAGATGGGCAACTCAAAGTTACTAGAGAGCCAATTTTTAGAAAATTAAAATCTAGCGGGCCAGAGCATGGAAGCAAAAAAAAAGTCATTCAAAATATACATTTTAAGTAGCATTTATTTTCTTTATACTGTAATAATATAAAAAGTTTTATTAAAAATAATTAAATTAAATATAAATAGCAGGTATTTGTTTAGTGTGAGTTTTAATAAGAGTTAATAAATAATAATAAATAATAAGTATAAATTATAAAATATAAATTACATTCATATAATAACATTATAAACATGGATTTTTTTATCATTTATAATTTTCGAGCCATCAACAATTTGTAAGGAGCCGTGAGATGAAAAAGTTTGAATACCTCTGACATATGTAATAGACATAATAATAATATGACGTAGGGCTGGCGGTATTTTCGGTGTACTGGTAAATGTACTGTTAAAAATATGGGTTCAACGGTATTTAAGTCTTATGTCATACTTACAGTGCTATGTATCTGCATGGCTTTGGTCAATAAGTCACAAAGTCAAGGAGATGGTAACTATAATTTTGCATTTACAAACTATGTTTATCATTTAAATTATTCGTATAAATATATAAATATATAGTATGTTATAATATATTAATACATACATTGTTATAAGATAAACAAAACCGTTTAGGTACTTCAGGGATCGTATACAATATAAATCATGTACGATCATTTAATATCAACGATGCACCTACTTACTATTATATATTTCACAGTGACAGTGTATGTATGTGTAAATATTTAATAAATTTCATATAAATATAAAATTATAAATTTAAATTTAAAATCCGGTAATACAAAGTTACGTTTCGTTTTGAACAATTGACGTTCGACAAAACTTCACGTAAGAAATTTCAGTATTTACTAACAGAGAGGACGTGTGAAATTTGTCCACACGTTATAACGTGTCGTTTCTAGTCCATACTATCTTAGATCGTGGTTTTATATATTTTGATGTCCGTTAAATTAAAAGCCATATGTACAACAACCACTGAATAAACAAACTTCCTTATAAAAACAAGTGTATCTCGCTCTTTTCAATTATCGTATTTAGCTCAAAATCGTGAGAGGTAATATTGTGAAAAACAGTTTTTGAAAAAAATGTATTTTACGTCATTCAAGTCGTATGTCATACTTAAATTAATATGCATCGGCACCAGGCTGCGATGCACGTGTCTTTAACACGTGCCTGTGTTTGAGAAAAATGTATATCTAAACATAAAATGGGGTTTTTCAGACAAGAAAAAAGGAGGCTTAATGAGTACTATTATGCCTTGTCTTGCTCCTAAAACCGGTAATATAGTTTTGATAGCCAGTGTTCTTAATTTTTGTCATAACATTAATCTAGTTTCAATACCTTTTTAGACGAAGAACCTAAACATGTAAAACCAGGTAGGTACATAAAGTTCCTTTGGATTCTACTATATTTCTTTATATATTATTTTAGTTCTTATTAAAGATATTTTTCCAAAATATAAATCTATGGTTTTAGGGCTTTCAAAAGTTATAATACTATTATCATAAATGACCAAAAGGATTGACATTTGTAATTTAATTAATTAAATTAATTTAAGTAATTTAATCAGAAAAAACGGAATATCACTAAATAAAAACTAACATAAATTATACTGTTATAATGATTTTATAAATCAGTATTATAATATATCATAAGCGTTTACTCAGGAACCACATATTATAAATCAATGATGTATTATCATAAATTAATATCTACCATCTACGACATACTTACTATGTACTATACTAATAAATTAACATGTAAAATGTAAATATGTGATAAATGTCATTACAATGTCAAGAACAATTGACGTTCAACAAAACTTCGGGTAAAAAAATTCAGTTTTTATCAACGTTTTAGGTAATGTGTGAATTGTGTACAAAGTATTTCATACTATTCATGTACCCTTTTAGCATCATGTACTTCATAAAACTCTAAAACAATATGAGTGGTGACATAATACAACTATACAACTATACAAGTATACAACAAAAATTGAACAATCCGGGAGGCCTATAAAAATCGATGGTTTCCGCATTTTTTAATTATTGTTTGTCGCTAAAAGTCGCAATACGTTATATTATGAAAAACTGTTACAGTTTTCTGAAAAATGTCTTCTACATATTTATTCAATTGTATGCAATAGGTACTCGTCGTACTATGCATCGGTATGAATTTGTCCCTTTATTAGTTACACGAATTAGGTAATTTTCATTTTTTAATATATTAAGTATGTAGATATTTAATTTTGATTACTATCATGTATGTTAGACAACTCCATATTGTTTATAAAATAATCAAAATACAGTAGACGTTTGTCATAGCGTTCACTAGTTATAAGAATCAGACGCTTATTAAAATCGTTTAATCGGGAATAATTGTACATAATATGAAAGATCAGATCATTAAATATCTACGATGTACATTGTACATACTAGGTATAATGTGTTCAAATGTAAATTTGTCTCCATACTTGTTCAAAGTATAAAATGCATGCAATGTATGCATAATATTATCCCTGTTGTTTATCCTGTCAAAAAATAATCTTAAGTGTTAAAACATTTTAGTATTTAATCACATCATTTTTGGTGATAATTGTACCTCACCAAAAATTCAATTCGTTAGTACAAAGTTATATTTCACTTTGAATAATTGATATGCTTGTCATACCTATACTAGTATGCATCTTTATGACTTTGTCCTATTATTTGTCACACGAATTAGATAATCTTATTTTTTTTATAAATTTAGTATGTACGTATTTAATTTTGTTTACTTATTCACATTAGACTCTGTGTTACTAATACGATAAATAAAACACAGTTAATGCCTCTTATAGTGTTCACTGGTCATAAGAACTAGTCAATCAATCAATTGCATAGGAATTGAATGTAATACCAATGATCACATCATAAAATATCTACGTTTTAACTACTATAGGTATAATGTATGAACTTGTGATAACTGTCAAAAAATAAAAAAATTAAAGAAATAATGTATTTTTCTAGCTTCTTCCACCTCTAGATTAGGTAAATATTTCATATTTTTACTGTTATAATTTCCACTTATTATTTGTGGTTGTAGATAAGCCTATGTTGTTTATAAGATATAGTTTAAATACAGTTGACGCCTATAATTATAGTATAGTGTTCACTGGTTACAATCAGCTGCTTACTAAAAGCGATTATTTAAGAATTGTATATCATATCAATGTTCATATAATTATGATAAAATATCTACAATGTACTTACTATATTAATTATAATGTGTTCAAATGTAAATTTGAGATATTCTTTCTAGAAAAAGAAACATAAAGTAAAATTATATTTATTTCCTAGGTTTTTTCACTGCAGGTACTGGTAACTCATGGATATTTCATGTCATAATTTTAAAGCTTGTTATGATTTTTTATTTATCTTATAATTCTCATGACTCTCTTACGAAAGTGAAATATAATAATAAGACTATTAAATGTCTTAGATAATAATATTATTATCTTTAAATTTTATAATAGGTCAATTCATTCAAACTTTTAAACGTGATCTGCTGAGTGTAAAATTGCTATGTTACACACTGCCTTGTAAGCTTTCGACTACAAATGTTTGCGTAGCATCCTCTTAACACTAAAAAATATAATACTTCGACTTAGGTCATTAATTATAAAAAAAGTTGACTTATAAGCCTTAGACGTCTTATAATAACAGTATAGAATATATAACACCTCTAACCACACAACGAGAAATTCACAAGCCACCGTTTTTCTACATGTTGCACACAAATCGCTCACGTTGACCAATGAAATTCAAAACAAATAACGTCAAACTAAATTGAGAAAGCATAAGCAATAAATATTATTAAACATTGAAATCTGAACGATGTTTACCAATGATTTTTTGACCGAAGACAAAAAAATGTACTAACAAATTACTTCGTATAAATTACGATGGCCTGAGTTCTTTCATGTACACTCGGCTACACTGTAGTTACCAAATCATCAAAATAAAACCTACTTTATGTAAATCTCATGTTTGCCGACGACTTGAAGCTCTTTAGGAAAATTGATAACTTATCTGACTGTTCTACGCTCCAGAATGATCTCAACAACCTGGTCTCCTGGTTTAATAATATTGGTCTTCAGTTTAATGTAAACAAATGTCATTCCATGTCATTTTTAAGACACCGCTCCCCTATCAACTATGCTTACTCCATCAATGGTTCTAGTGTAACATCGGTTTGCAGTAAGAAAGACCTAGGTATTATCTTTAATTCCGATCTCAATTTTCACTCCCACACTGAAATGATATGCTGCAAAGCCTTAAAAACGCTTGGGTTTGTAATGCGCATATCAAAGGAGTTCAATCTATCTTCTTCATTAAAAACTATATACTGCTCATTGGTCCGTTCACTTTTAGAGTATGCATCGGTCCTATGGGACCCTTATACGGTATCTGACTCATGTCAATTAGAACGTGTTCAGAGACGGTTCTTATCTTGCGCAGCTTTTCTCTTAAAAATAAATCATCCTCCCCACGACTATTTCTTAGTTATGCAGGAACTCAGCCTCATTTCACTGGCCGACAGGCGAGTTAACTCTAACATAGAGTTTCTGAATAAACTAGTCGATGGTCGTATAGATGCTCCCTCACTTCTCACGATAGTCAATTTCAAAGTTCCTTCCCGTACTACTAGATACCATGCTCCTTTCGTTGTTCCTGCGCACACTACCAATTATGGCAGAAACAATCCGTTAGACCGCATGATGCGGCTGGCCAATGAGAGCACCGTTCATCAAAACTGATACATTTATTATTATATATTTTTATATTTGTTATATTATCATTATTATACTTATTATTCTGTAATTATTATCTTATATAAATTTAATTATGTCATTGTATTAATTATTTTAAATTATGTATTATTGTATTATGTTAAACTGTTGAATAGGGCCCAGCCCGTTAACAAATAAATAAATAAATAAATAAATAAATAAATAAATAAATAAATCATAGACTAAAACGAGCGTAGGTACTTTATAAATAGTTATAAATGTTACGGGTAAAGTACAAAATATGGTTAGTGTTCACATTATCCGGGTAATGTGTACACTACCTGTACCTATTGGATAAAGTAAAAATACTATTTATAAAACGTTTATTTCGTACTTTACTCGGGTATTTTACACATTATCTACGATTGAGTGGGTAAAGTACTGTGGCGACTTTTGCCACAATACTTTTCTTCCGTTGACCCCCCTGCGACAGTTGGCACTCGACTTCACGCCGACCGGCAAGCCGCGTCTCACAACTACGCTCGACTTGCCGCCATCGGCCCGACACTCGACCTCTTTTCTCGCCCGACCGGTGGACTCAACGTTTCTGATCCGTGCACGTTCCCTTACCTGCAGTCCCTCCGACTCTCCAACTCGCTCGTCTCCGAACGTCGACGACTAGCACTGGCAACAGCGACCGCGATCACGAACCGTCAACGACGGCCGCGAGACTTACACAAGTCATCCTATTTGTGCCCACGTTACGATAAATGCTTAATAAACACGTTTTATATTTACCCTGTTCTAATAAATAATTGTATTTCGCTTTTAAATTTTAATTAAGTAAATAGTAAAATTGTTCAAATATATAATTTATAGTTTAATAGTAATAATATTTTGAATTAGTTTAATTTGGTTTTTGCTACTAGAAAGACTTTGTAAAATCTGTACCATTTTAAGTGTTTGATGCGTTGGTCATGTTGTACCGAAGTTATAAGTTTACGATTATAGTTATACGAATACATTATCCATAGCATACCGGATAATGTATAAATTGATTGGATACTATATATTTAAGGTGGATAATATATATACTACACTGTTCGTATGGATGAGGTTCACATTACCCGGGTAATATGTACACTAACCGTTTTTGTACTTCACCCGTAAAATATACATTATACGGTCCTCAGAACCTTTGTGTAGTATAGCCAGTATAGGGCACAAAATGTTACGCAGTTGTGAAAGAGTAGTACAGAGTTAATTTGATCTAATTGAAACATGGATATATATTAATACATATTTACAATACACACATTTATGGAGGGGCGGGGAACACCGCTCTAGGGAGCTCACTCGAGTTAGAGGACCACATAAAATGGGTGTCTATAACTATTGGTCCATGCGATGATATTAAAAATCATGTTGGTGTGCTGCGGTTCGGTATCGGTGAAAATTTATCCTCAGACAATACATTGAGTCATTTTTTTTTATGTATTTTAAGGATGTAGGTGTTTAATTTTGATAACTCACTTATATTAGATAACCCTATGTTGTATGTAAGATAAATAAAATACAGTTGACTAATCTTACAGTGTTCGCTGGTTATAAGAATCAGCCGCTTATATTAAAATCGATTACTCAGGAATTGAATATAATATCAATGATCAGATTATAAAATGTCTACGTTTTACTTACCATAATGTGTTTAAGTGTACATTTAAGTTAACTGTTTAAAAATATATATATATAAATTAAAATTTAGATTAATGTTTTTAGCTGGTGGTGGCTATGGCGGAGGAGGTAATCATTCCATTTATTAAGTTCTACATATTAGTCTCGTTGTTTTTTCTGTAAAAAAATAATCTTAAATGTCAATACATTTTAATATTTTACCACATCAATGTCGGCCTTGTGTGAGCGGGACGACACTGGCGGTAATGCTTAAACGCGAAGCGTGGTCCAACTTTTATAATGATGCACTTTGTCGTGGTTTATATACACGTGTGTGTGGGGGGGGGGAAGCCATCTATAACCAGTGCATAACTTAAATAAGTGGGCTGCTGAGTGGTTAACAGTGCTCTGATTATTGATAGTTGAACAAATGGCCGAATTGAGTATTTTACGTGATGAGCCAGAAAAGATTCAATTATTCCGTGGTGTGGTAGAAACGCTGGCGGTTGGTATGGACAGCAACAACGGTGTCACACGGAATGCTGGTCCTGCTGAGGCCCTGGTAGTTGGTACCGAGTTCTGTGGATTAGTTGTTGTTGCGCCATTGTCCTGGATTCTATCGACGGGAGTTCAATTAACCGTGACGTAGGTAGGTACTTGGCAAGTGGCCGTGAGGTCGTCGGTGTCATTTGGATTCGGTAGCAGACATCTGGTGTAAACCTTTGCGGTGGATCGTGCCTTTTTGTTGGTGATTGACGTGGTGTACTGTTGTCACCGCACTCTTTCGGTCTATAACATTTTGCCCGGGCTCTGGTGGTCACAATATAGGTGTTGGAACGGTTTGAAGTGATGCATAAGACACATCTTTAATTTTATTAGAACTTTTATTAAGACACACAATAGTACAGTTATGTTTTAGTAAACGACGGTCAGGCAGAAGCTGTTGCTGCGGTCCGCCGTTCGCCGGGCCGGCGTCTTCTACCACCGTTGGCTGCCGAACCGGCTGTCGGTCGCGCTCTCCCGGACTTCGATAGAGAAGCCGTGGTCGTCGCGATAACGACCGCGACAACAGCTCCCCGCAAACTCATACTTGCGTGTTGATCAGGGTTTGTGTTGGCAGCTCTCGGATTTGATCCTTGGTGGTCCCATGGTGTATGGGAGAATGTGTTAGTGGATGTGATTGTGGAAATTTATTGGTAAGCCTATAAAAATGGGCGATTGTTTATCTTATTCTTGAAGTAATGAGTGGAATGACTTAGGTCTCGTAAGTGAAGGTATTTTAAAATTATTTTTGTATTACAAAGAGTTATATTAGAAACTTAGTTAGGTGGTAAATACTAAATAGTCGTCTGAGTCGAGAAAATCGATGCGTTGAGTTTTTAGCATATTTCTGATAAAAGTAATTTTGACGTATGCCTGAGTTTTTATGGATAGATCACGATTACGTCGCTATTCTTTTTTGAGCTGGTTCTTGAGTTTTATTTCTAATTATATTTCGGGAGGAAGAGACTTATGGAGGTTGTTTAGATTTTGATACTATTTGAAATTTTGATGATGGTCGAGTCAATGTTTTGGATGTTATCTGTGAAAGTATTTGTGTTTAGAATTTTTTGATTAAGTGTTGTCGAATATTTTATTTAGTTTATTTTGGTTCATATAGGTTGGGAGGGGGGAGGGGGGTGAAGATGTGATTGGGCAATCGGAGATGTTCTGCAAGAAGAGATATTGATCCAAGTACAGATCATTTATTTTTGATATTTCCAAAATATGAGTTGAGGGAGTTTGATTAGGGCAATATCTAATACATCTGAACGATGACCAGCGATTTGAGAATAGAAAGTGGGAGAGTCTAGGGCATTCACCATGTAGTCAGATGTTTAGTCATGATGGCATAGAATTATTTCTGAATTGTTAATACAGCGACTGTGCCACAATAGATGTTTCACTTTTAAATTACCTGCGATGACGAGCCATTCTCATTAATGGGTGAGGTTAGTCCCAAGTCAAAAGGCTTCAGCAATTAGCTGGGTAGTTTAAATACAGCTGAGACACGAGCAGTGTTGTGCTTAGATAATTTTTTTGTATCTAGATATAGATAAGATATATGAACTCAAAATATATCTAGATAGAGATAGATAATGATAAATTAAAATATATCTAGATATAGATATAGATAAAATCAATTTTATCTAGATGAAAATGAGATGATTTTTTATAAATGATATTCTTAAAATATGATTTTGTTAAATTTTATTTTTATATTAGGTTTGTAGAAAATATTAATACAATTATGAGTTATAAGTTTATAACTATACATAATTTTAGTTTAAATTACTATAAACTATTTAAACGAATAATTATAAAAAAAAATAAACTGAATAGACTATAGTACTATACAGCGTACGCGGACGGTTATGAATGAAGTCATTAGTCAATACTCAATAATTATGATGGTATGATACTTTTTCCATAGGCAATGAATAATAATAAATAAAATATTTATAACTTGCAGTGGTTAATTAATAAAGGTTGTTGGCGAATGGTGAGTGGACTGAGTGGAGCTGGTGGTTTATTCTTATTAGTTTTTGGTATTTTTAAACTATTATAATAGTATAATACCAATATTCCCACTTCCCAGTACTATCGTCTATCAGGTTATTCTTAGACCTTCGACTTGAATTATTTAATATTATTATATAATAAGCTAAGCTTATCTATTGTCGTCTGTCGACGATCGACGATACAATTATTATTAATTTCTTAAAAGTGGTGCACATTAGCGACAAATGACAATAATAATACTAGGTACCTAAATATATACATATAATTAATTAATTATATAATATATTATACAATTTTAAAAATAATATCAGAAAACATAATGTTCGTATATTTTTCAGATTACGTCTCGTGAACAATCTAGATAAATTAATTTAGATGACGAAGTTTTCTATCCTAGATGACAGGTAGATACCAATTGTGTAATTTATCTAGATAAGATAAAAGATACGATTGTTTTATCTAGATAAGGTATCTAGATAAATTTATCTAACTAAATTTAGCTATTGCACAACACTGGGCACGAGTAATGTTGTTTCCAATTGATCTTTTTATTGATGTCGAGGACATATTAGTGGTAAGAGGTATGTGTGTGTGAACAATACAACGGTGACTGAGCACGGCCATTCCCTCTCACGATGCGGAAAGGCATATTGTAGTTAGTTAAATGTAGATTGTTTTGGATTTTTTTTTATTGTGAGAGTAAGATTGGTCCCACCGATGAGAATGATGTACATTTTATTAGTATTTATGAAAACAAACAGTTAATTTATTTTGAGGTGGTCTTTGGGCAT